CGGCGAGATCGGGTGGATGGATTGGACGGGGTTGAACGAGGAGGGACAGCAGGTGTTGTAGCCTTGCCATGGCTTGGAGGTTTGGCCTGCGCAGGAGTCTTGCGGTTTGAACACGAGGGCTGCGGTGTAGAGACCGAAGTGGTGCTCTCCACGGAAGACGCCATCTTGTCGCTGTCAACGCCGTGCAGCTGGGCGGGCATGGACTTGCGAGTCTTGCGGTTGGAGAGCGAAGTGCTCATGGTGGATGAGTGGTCGGAGTTGGTGGGATTGGTTGAAGACGCGTTCGGCGTGGCCAGGGACTTGCGTCGGTCTTGAGGTTTCTTGGAAAGAAAGTTATGCAGCGTCGACTGAGACTTGGAAATGGACGCGGTGGGCGTTGCCAGGTGGACGGCCTCGCTGCCACTGAGCGTCGACTTTCTGCTGCGGTCTCGTTTCCTCGAGACGCTGGAGGTCTGCAAAGAGCCTTTCTGGTTCGGAGTCTCTGTGGCTTCTATAGACGACACGCTCTTCTCGTCTTGCGTGACCGAGCGTTGCGTCTTGCGGCGTTTTGCAGAGGCAAAAGATTCTTCAAACGATGTGGTGAGGGGCGTTGGGGGTAAAGAGTAGGATGAGTGGGATTCGGGTTCACGAGTGGTTTTACGTGAGGCGCGAGACGAACTGCGTCGGGTTTCTCTCTGCAAAGGGTTAATATCAGAATGAGCAAAGGATGCAGGAGAGAAGAAGAAGTACCGGAGTCAAGTCCAGAGGAAGAGCAGCGGGGGAACCGAAATCCCTCGCAACGGAAGCCCTACCAACCACTGGTGTTATTAGCAACCATTGCAGTGAATGGGCTGATTCACTTGTCGTCCTCCCGGCTTACTTGTTCACTTGTCCGCTGTTTCGCAATCGCTCCCTCCCTCAGCGACCTGGATATACGGTTGTTCCCGCCAGTTCCCTATCCACCACTAACACTTTGGAGGCAACGAGCGGGTGACCAGCGGACTAGGGCGCTTGGCTTGCAGTTGGGGGACTTGGATCGGAAAGACTATGCGACGGGGGTTCTGGGTTCGTCGGGCCTGCGAGTCAAGGTGGGTGTCAGTGAATGAATGGATCCCGATTGACGATCCGGAAAACGGAGGCAAGCAGGAGCGGCACCTCCTGGAAACCGACCCCGTGCGCGAGCGACCCACGCCGGCGTCCAAGAAGCCCAGAGTCTTCCCCACATACCAGTAACCAGCTATTCTCGTTGTAATTGTAACCACAATCGTCCCAATCTCCCTGTTGAGGCCAGAGTCCAGGGTGGCCGTCGGTGAAGCGGAGGCGAGGAGTCGGAACGCAGAGGCAAACAGCAGGCGCAGGGGGGCTCCCGGGACTAGCGAAGAGGCGTGAAAAGCATGGTTGTAGTGCAAAGCAGTATCTCCAAGCCGGTGGAGGATCTCCGGGATCGCGACAGTGGCAGGGAAAGCCGATAGTCCGGACGATGAGGAGGAAGAAATGTTTGGCAGCCCGAACTCCATCGACGCCGGGAAATTAGGGCTTGCGCCGGTAAGGCGGGCGGTCACTGGACCGCCGCTTGCCCCAAAGCCGCGGGCGCTTATCTTAGCGCATCTTCTTCTGCTGCCTTGTCGTCGTGCCGACTTTCTCCAACTGCTCCTCTTCCCGTCCGGTGCTTCCCATCCCCGTCTTCTTTGGTCGCTCTGTCTTTTGGTCTGGTCGCTCGTTCATCATGCAGCTGTGGCACTCTGTTCTCCAGCTCTCCTTGCTGGCTTCTGCCGCCATCCCGACCGCGACCGCCTCCGCCTGGGGATTTACTGATGCCACCGTGTCAGTTAACACCAAGGGCGCTGGTGTCGGTTCTGGTCTAAAGGAAACGTACGCTCATTCTCCTATGCGGCTCTTTACATTAATTGAAAACTGGCTGACGGTGCTTGCAATTGACAGTATTCCCGATAACAAGGCTCTCTCCAAGCCCGTCGCCCTCGGAACCGCCGATACCTTGAAAGTGACCCTGACAGCTCAGGAGGGACGCGCTGGAAAGCACGCCCACCAGGTGTTTCTGCTCGTTCAGGACCCGGAGACTGGATTGGACATTTCATATCCCTTCAATGTGAAGGACAATGGCAAGTCCCGACTTGACCTGGTAGGTGCCAGATACCTCGGAACCAACGACACAGCTGATGTGTCCTCAGACCCAGAAAGACCTCCCCGTTCAATTCCTCTCCGCCTCCGAGCCTCTTGATGCCCGATTCCTGATCGGATCCTTCGGCGACGCCGACGCATACAATGGCGCTGCCTTTCAGCTGGCCGTGACCAGCAACCCGGACGAGCCTGTGCCGACCGTCGAGGTGTCGCGGTACGGAAAGCTCCCTGAGATCCACCACATTTTCAAGACGGATGCGCAGAGCCCTCCGATCGTGATTTCTTTGGCTTTTGTTGCGATGGTGCTCGCTACTCTGCCTGTTTTGGGTGGTCTGGTAGGTTTATCCTCTGCTTGTGCAAGTACCTATCTAACGGCTCTAGTGGCTCTTCCTCGGCGCCAACGTCAACCACCTGCCTACTGCATTGAAGTCGGCTCCTCTCCCTCATGCGGTGTTCCTTGGCTCCCTCCTGTCCATCGAGGGCATCTTCTTCCTGTACTATACCTCCTGGACTCTGTTCCAGATCCTCCCGGCTGTTGCGGTGGTCGGAACTGTCGCCTTTATCAGCGGCAGCCGCGCTCTGGGCGAGGTCCAGGGCAGACGGTTCGCCGGACTCCGGTAAACACCAGTCTGGACTGGTGTCACTCATTGATCCTGGTGTGGACCGGCTTAGACAAGCTGTATGATGTAGCAGTAAACAGCTATGAAGAGGAATAGCGTACTGTGCTACACAGTATACACAGTACACAGTACACAGTACACAATACACAACACCCAGCAATATCACACTAGCCAGGGCCGTAAAGAACAAGTAATCCTAGACGGAGCTGACGTCACCCGCGCAGCTAGCCCATATCCCAAACGGGCTAGCCGGCCCGACGCTCTGCAGCGAATTCCACCGCAATGTTCCGCAGCGCCCATCTTTGCTTCAACTCCACACCCCAGATTCAATACACACCACACAGATCATGGGCGCCTCATCCTCCAAGCCCGTGAGGTCCGCCGCCCAGGCGGCCCGACGGCAATATCCCAAACAACCTGTTTCTCCTCCGACCTCGGCACCACGACAACAACAACCACCATCCAAACCCGCAAAACAACCCCAACCACAGACACCATCACCATCACCACGACCACCAAGACCCTCCCAACCCCAAGGCCCAACCTACCACTCCAAAGAACCCCCCTCCCTGCAACGCTCCTCAGGTACCCCTCCAATCCCCCCATCCCCTACCCAACAAAGCTAAGAAAAGAAAAAAGCAATCGACCTCGACGGCCGCGATCCCGACTTCGCCGCCTCTCTTCGCACCATCGGCCCCGTAACCCCCAACCCGACATACTCGCCCAGCAGCACCTTCTCGCAGCAGCCCGCGCCGACCGTCTTCCCGCCGGCGTCTAACCCAGCGTTGTTGGTTTTCTCGGCCCGACAGCGCATCACCAAGGCTGCGGAGCAGGAGGCGGAAGCAATGGGCAAGATGGATTTCGCGGGGAGGGAGTTTCTGGACGCGTTGACTGTTAGGCAGGTTTTGGCGATGAGGGATCGGCAGGGCTTGGGGGAGGCGGAGATTGAGAGGATGTTGAGGTTGAAGGGGGGGGTGGTGGGTAGGTTGGGGGGGAGGGGGGTGGTTGGGGATATTGGATAGTTGGGATGATTGATGTGGAGGGATTTGGAGAGAGGATGGGTATTGTACGATATGGGAGAGATGAATGAATATATGTATTATTGGGTTGGGTGCGTGGATGAATGGGTGTGTTTCATGCATGACTGCCTAGTCTGGAAGAGGCCGGGGTAGTCATCACATCTGTTCATTGAATTGATGCCATGCTCTCACCTATTATGCAAAGTTCCTCCAGGAATTATAAGAATATGCTATACGCAGCAGAGTCACTCCTCAAAACCATGATCATTAGTCCACAATCAAGCACTGCAGGCATTAAAACCCCGTACCTATCATTTCCCTCCAGTATAGGTTAGGTCAAACAAACTAGGCGTAGTCATTCAGGTATCTAATCAATTCAACCAGGTTAGTTTGTCGGTGTAACGATCTTCTCACCCACATTATATACCTAGTTCCCATAATCCTTCGCCAGGAATACAACAATAGTATCCCAAACCATACATTAACAACACCAGCAAGAAGTCCAGATACCATTCATTCATTCATTCCTTAACTTCCCTAGAAATCAAGCCCCCCCCCCCGGCTAATGAAGACCAGCATAATGCACCATATCTACAAAATGCAATTTCTCTTGCCTAGAACTGTGTATGTAGATTACTTCTTATGGTCAACAGTCATCAAGTTGGGGTAAGATATGGTAGGGTAGGGATAGGGTAGGTAGGGATGATGTTATAAATCTTTATTCTGTGTAACTGTAATTATCCTAATAGATTATATTATATATAGTGTTAACTATGCTCAGGCCCTAACTCTATACTAGAATTATCTTTCTACGGGGTTTTACAAATAATAAATTCC